GAATCAGTGGACGAGGTGTTTGAAAATACTAGGAACCAGCGGCAAATTTTACAATAACTATTTCGCCCTGCTTCTGTGAGGAAAAAAGATGTTCTTGCTAAATAAGAACATTTTGTTATTTAATGTCAAGAAATCCATAAATACCTTTCCTCTTATGATCTATCCTCGTCGTGTCATTCTCTCCACTCCAGTGCTACAAATTCCGCTCCACAATCACTATAAAAAATGCATAGTTGTAATACGGTTGGTTTTTGAAGATGATGAGAGGCTCTGGGCTTGTCTCGAACAAGTTGCAGACTGTCGAGTTTTGATGAAAGCTATCAGAAGAAACCCAAGAGAGGTCGAGGAAGCGGGTAACAGCCTTCCTATATTTCTACATATGTAACAACTAAGAAATCAGCACAACTTTGTGAAGATAGATCATCAAGCCTTCAAACCCGTCTTGCAAGTCCTCGATAGCCGATTATCTAGAACATAGTGTTTCATTCAATTAGCTTGTAAAAATAATTTCAACCGATTGTTTCGTTCCTCAAGGTCGCTTATAGCGGTTTTCCGATTCACTATAATCGATTGCCTGTATGATATCGTTTGCATCGCTTAAAATAATCTACCCTTCACTAGTTACCGGACTTTTAACTTTTGCAGAGCCCAAGATTACGTGTACCAAACTAGCTCTTTTTTCACCTTGATGGAAACCGTACAAAGCAATTCACCAAAGATACCTGGGACCATATCTCAGAATGTCTGTCTTTTTTGGCTTCTGACTATTCCTTCGAAAGAATGACCAATAAATTTACCAGTTAGCATAAGTTCAGAATTGCTGGATGTTCCAGAATTGACATTGACTCACATTATACTGCATTTGATTTTTCTTCGAAATGACTTCCTTTCTAGATAATTTCCACTGGAGACGATTTTGACACTGCGTTAGCAAAACCTTTTAAGGCAAGGACTTGGACCTTGTGTGGTCTAATTTTATGCAGAATTCAGTTCTCTATCGTCCTTAGTGTAGAGAATTCCTAAGCACCATCTTCTGGAAATTTTATATATCCAACAGTGTGATCAAAGTAGATATTTCGGAGTTATATATCTTCGGGTATGGTATCTTCAAGTTATATATTCGGAGATATATCTCTAATCATTAAATAACAAAATGTTCTTATTTAGCAAGAACATCTTTTTTCCTCACAGAAGCAGGGCGAAATAGTTATTGTAAAATTTGCCGCTGGTTCCTAGTATTTTCAAACACCTCGTCCACTGATTCGGGAAAATACAAGATTCACTAATCGTCCAATATTTTCTCTTTATATCTCTCGTAGATAAACAATACGTATACTAACAGCTCCAAACAACAAGTGTTCTTTTATGAAATTGCAAAACGTAAACGTATAGCATTGATTGCACATGACAATAAAAAACCTGAGATATTAACATGGGCTAAAAATCATCGAAAACAGCTAATAAAACATGATTTATATGCTACATCTGGCACTGGTACATTACTATCAACCGAATTGGATCTAAAAATTACTAAATTTAACGGTGGTCCATTCGGTGGAGATCTACAAGTAGGTGCAAAAATAGCAGACCATTTGATGGATATGGTAATATTTATAATCGATCCATTCACCCCACAACCACATGATGTTGATATTAAAGCATTGCAACGTATAACAATGGCGTGGAACATCCCAGCAGCCTTTGATGTAGCGACAGCTGATTTCATTTTTTCATCACCATATATGGAACGTAAATATACAAGAAAAGTTATCTTACCTATTTTGTAGTGGTTAATTGAATAGTTAAATTTATTTGATTTACTGTTTATAAATTCTACTTGAAAGCTCTAGATGTAGCAAACTATTCCTAGATATCTTCCTCATTACTGTTACATCATAAGATGGATAATTCGAATATGATGCAAATCAAGTTTGGGAAGTAATCATAGACTAAGCTATCTTTCTCCTCTTTTCTGTTTGCACATTGTCCTTGCTCCTCTTTTTTTAAAGCCTGTGTTTTCTTTTCGGAAAATGGATGTCATTCCGTTTTTTATTACAGCTAAATCTTTCATCTTTTTTAAATCCAGATCAAATTTTTCGTATGAAGATCATATAGGGATAGTCAAAAGACTATAGTTCTGATGCCATTTCATTTATAAGAAAACGGTACATACAAATCCCAACATGTAGTAAATCCAGTGGAAGTGGGTAAGTAGGAATAAAGAAGCTAAAAAGAGGAAAAAAAAACAGTTATAGAAAACGTTTTGTTTCACTAATATAATGTGTGCCCTAGTGGCATTCCCGCTTCCATCTTGCCGCGATTTTGACAAGAAATTTGAAACTTAACGCGGGATCGATACCGTGATCGTACCTAATTTTTCCCGTATAACGAAAATTTAATAACCTTGACGCGAAAAGTTTTTGACTGGATCGCGCTGAAATCCTGCAAAGGTTGCGGCAGGATTAAAACGGGATCAAGACAAGAGCGTACCAAGATCCCGATGTGATTAGAACCAGGTTGCAGAAAGGCTGAGCAAGCTTTCATGCCACTTATCTGATTGTCACTACGTTCTTTTGCTGGTTTTATCTCTTTTTCATCAAATTTCATCATGTTTTACTCGATATTTTCGTCGAGAACATGAAGTAATTAGAGATTTTCTCCTAGAACAGCATCTTCAGAGTACACAGCCATTTATTTTCTTTGTTTTGAGTTATAAACTCCATTTCATTTCAATGTCACAAAGTTGAACTATTATTAATTTGCTCATCTAAAGTAGGATATTGTTTTTGCCGGTGAGAAGTTTCATCTCAGATGTATCGTTAGGTTCTTCATCGGTGTACTTTTTAGCTCTAATTCGAAACGTTACTGGTATTGAATCTCAGAATAGACGTAAGAGGGACTGTCTTTGTGTTTCATCTGTGAGTTGTGCCAATAAGGTAACGTTTGCCGTATGTGAAGAAAACATTCACGCTTGAACTTCCAGTGAACGTGTATCTGTAGATACTTGACACTCGGACCAGTTCGTTGCTAGAGCCAATCTAGCGTCCTGTGATTGAGATGCTCTGACTGTGCCGCTATCCTCTGTGCGTCAAACAGAATCGAAATGACTGTTGCTACATTCTGAAAGACTCAAACGGCAAAGCGATCTTACATCGAGGGAACTCACATGATAACTCAACCTTTGTGTGCATTACTCTCACTGTTGTGCATTTTCATTCTGAGATCTCTGCACAGTCAACATCTTTAACTGAACCTACATATGGAAGCACAGTGGGCATTCAGGTGGAAATTTGAGCAACAATCGACAAGTGAGCTTTTTTGAATTCGAACAGTAGTAAATGTAGTCCTTGAAAAGCGCTATCGAATGGTATCATAATGATCGACTAGTAATGAACTCCTTCGATGAGTAAGTTAACTTAAGAACACTCACAAAAAACACCGTCAAATATGGCACATCTGCAAAGATTCTAATTTCTATGTATAGACGTGCAATATTACCCTATCCAAAGCACATATTCGGAATCAGCACAACCTATTGCATCTTCTGATAATAAAAGGTACTCCTTTTGCATCTTGTACGAAACGAAAAAAGGTCTAGTAGTCTAGATTACCACGGTCCGACATGAGGCGACCTCAGTGCAGTGACAGCGCTAAGCCTGAACAGACCTTGTAATTACATCCTCAGCCTATCGTGTATTTATGATGATCTCGTCTTTTTTTCGAAATCGAGTTATTGATTTTACAAAAACCCATAGGTAATTCGAGGTAATTCGCGTTTTTCTCCCCCATAAGAGCACTTTTTCCATAACATAAAGTCATATTCGGAATCATCGTGAGACCATATTATGCTAAAATAATCATTTTCTAACTCTAAAATCAGGTGTCCGCCTGCTCTATGGGAAAATGCCTACTGTGGGGAGAAGACTTTAGATGTGGTGCATTGCCCGAGAATATTCTCTTTGGATTCTAAAACTGTCAAGAAGAAAATAGTTCAACTTCTAATGCCCAGAACTAGCTGGTGCAACCCAGCACCAGTAGACCACATATATATACGCTTGCCTTCACTGCTAGTCGGTTTCATGGCACACCACCTGTAGTTATGTGTATTAAATCTCCAATTACTAAGTAAGAATCAAATGTTAGCCCGAGGTCTAGTGAACTTTTATACAACTGAGTCTCAAAAAAGCTCGTAAAGCTATTAATATCATCGTAGACTGGGATGGAAGTGAGTTTTCTATAGGCTGTTTTACTAAAGCCTAAAGGATGCCATGTTACCTTCAAATCCAAAGATCGATAAAGTAGAGTCCTTATCCGCAATTTCAAAAGCAAAGATCACTGACACATGAAAACTAGAGAAACACCGAATATCATTAAAGGATCACAATGCTTATCTAAACAAATGAAAGTACGGTTTACAAATCTAAACCAAAACGTTTCTTCAATTTGTTTTTAAAACGGCAGATTTTTTTTTAAATTCTGTCATGAATAACACGGCCGTTAGTGATGCAGTAGGCTTTCTCATGAAGACCCCATCGACCTCATCATACACTTTACTAGTAAAATAGAACTGTGTAAATGAAGAAAAAAAGTATCTGATGGCGTGGCCAACTAATGGTCATCCCTCGAATCGGAAAGTTCAAATTTTTGTTTTCACTCGAACAACGCTTAAAAAACATCACTAGATGTAGTTTTTCGTGCTGGTTATCAATCTGAACTCAGAAATAAATGTCAAATTCGATTGAACTACGCGGTTCAAATACAATCGCTAAAAGATTGAACGATAGTTCTAATGATACAGTGCTGACATATTAGGTTTTTTACCATAAAGATCGCATCAAATAATAAAGTAGAACTTATGTGTCTAAAGTCATTTTCATATACTTACACCAATTACAATGATACGGACTTTGTTCACCAGCAAGAATCATAACCTGATTAATCATCTTGTGGCTGGCGCTATTGGTAAATTTTAATTGATACTCACAGCCATTTAATACGATATATCACTTAATGAGCATAATATATGCTTCACATCGTCAACAAATTTACTTAATAATTCTTTTCTATTCACTCCTGGATCAACTTTATCAAATTGTCAACAAGCACAAAATCAATATTTCCTTCAAATTTCTTACGTGTCGGGTGTAGAGATAGTAACAAGTTGACTGGAAAAATTAAAAATTATAATATTCTTCACTTATCTCAAAAAAATGAATTCCTGTTTCAATTCATGTATTAGAAATAGGCATGCAACAATCCCAAACTAGGAATCGCTGATCGGCACCGAACGGTTTGTTACCGAACATGTTCGCTGCCGATCAGCGAGCCTAGCTTGGGATGGTTGCATGCCTGATCTGAGCTAAAGGCAAATTGAATGAAACTGAAGCTTTTGAAGGAAGTAACCAGCGAGAAAATAGATTAACTAAAGCACAATGTGAGCGAATGTGTCTTCTACCGGATCGCTATCGAACGTGTTCGGACGAAGATTGTAA